GTTTGTATATTCTTATATATATATATATATATATATATATATATATGTGTGTGTGTGTGTGTGTGTGTGTGTGTGTGTGTGTGTGTGCGCGTGCGGGCTTGTGGCGGGTGTAGCCGATGTTTATCTATAGAACATATTTATTCCAATAATTTATCAGTTCGACCAGAATAAAACAAATTTTTGTCTTTTCTTCTATCATCTTTCCTCATATGTCCCTAAACGTTAAATGATTTATCGTTCTGGATATGAATTTTTTTTTGCTAAAGTTGTCGTCCAATGTAAGGCGCAAGAGCCAGTCAATGTAGAAGTTTAATCAGTGACGTTGTTTCCTTCACTGCACATATACTTATGGAATGAAAGTAATAAGCATTCCATGTTCATTGATGATATCTCTATATCGATACGTGGATACCGTTTTCATTTATTTAGCGAGTAATTTATCCAGATTTCCGATACTGTTCATCTTCCGATGTTTTATATATATATATATATATATATATATATATATATATATATATATATATATATATATATATATATATATATATGTATATATATGTATATATATATATATATATATATATATATATGTATATATATATATATATATATATATATATATATATATATATATATATATATATGTGTGTGTGTGTGTGTGTAGCCGATGTTTATCTAACGGATATATTTATTCTAATAATTTATCCGTTCCACTAGAATAATACAAATTCCTGTGTTTCGTATATCATCTTTGCTCATAGGTTGCTAAGTGTTAAATGATTTATCGATCTGGATATGATTATTTTTTTATAAATATTCACCCAATGCAAAGCCCAAGAGCCAATCAATGTAGAGGTTTACTGAGTGACATTGTTTCGTCATTGCACATATACTGATGGAATGAAGGACAAAGGGAAAGAGCGAGTAATTCATCTAACAATATTGTGGACATGGTTTGTAAAACAAAGATTGAAATGATGGTACAATGGCAAATATTCTTCATATCCTGAACGGATATAAAAGAATCCTTCAGGAATAATTCGGAATATGATTCTTTCGGAATAGAAACTTTAGACGCCTTGCATTCTTGTATAATTCGAAATATATTTAAATGGTGTCACGTATCCGGCCTTCTGAATTTAATGAGGAGCTGCTTTTTTCTTTCTTTGAACAAAAAAAAATCTTATTACAGTTGAAGCCTTATATCAAAACTGAATTCCAACCATCGAAAATCAATCAACGAAAATCTTTAAGAAATTGCAAATTTGGCCTAACCCTGAAGAAAGATTTCCAAACAATTTAGAAGCCAGCTATAAAGTAAAGAATGTCTTCTTCGATACACGCCACTCTCATAAATGTATCTCTTTCGGGACATATTACTGATTGAAAATTGTACCTTACACAAGAATAGAAAGTGATGTGAGCTTAGTGGTTTGCGAATAGGTTAAAGTATAAGCAAAATGGCTCCTCATCTAAGGTAGAGTTTGGAAAGTATTTTTCATTGATTGGCATTTTGGTTTTTATATTGATTTTCTAATAGTAAATATTGTCCATATAAGAGTTATAGAGATTAAAATGATTTGAAGAAATCGGAGTCCAGGTTAGTTATTTTTAGTTATTCGATTAAATTAACCCATAACACATAGCTCTGTTCACATTTGATGGAAAAATCACAACGTCACTGTTTCTGCATGTATTTCCAGTTTAGTTTCCATGGATATAGGTCTCCTCTCCCTGGGGGGGGAGAGGAGACCTATATCCATAGACTACTTCTAGAAATATGGTTTCTAATAGAATTTCCCCTCTCTACATACTTTTGCATCGAACATACAAATACGATATTGGGATGAAAGTTACAAAGTCAGTTTAATGGTGTTAGTGATAGTAATGTAACCTAGGTAATGAATGTATTCTAACTAAACCTGTTCTTTTTTATCCTGGCCCAGAAACCCCGACTTTTAATTTTTAATGGCAATTTACCAGCAGAACAATAATACATAATAAGGCATAAAAAATAGTCATTTCTTCCGAAATAAGATGTATTTCGTTCAAATCACCCATAAGATGTATTTCGTTCAAATCACCCATAAGATGTATTTCGTTCAAATCACCAAGTCAAATTGAAAATTCTATGGGCATGATGAGAATCGGAAGTAAATTGAATTTTTTTTTCAGCAAATAGAGTTGATAAAGTACAGTGTATTGTAATTATCACTATGGTAAAAGTTATAGATCGGGGTTATCAGAGTATGATATAATTGGTTTGTTAAAGCGTTTCATAATGTCACTGCCAAAAACAAGTCAGAGACATTTAAAAAAATTCAGTTAGTTTTTTAAACGATTTTTAGAACAAACAGTACTGTTGATTACGTCCTTATCACCGTTGCTTGTCACTCCTAGTTCACTTAACAAGTGATGATAAAATGTGTCAAAACATTTACTGTTGTTCTACAGAAACTGTATCTGTTAGAACATAATTTAAGAAAATAACGGGTGAGCGCAGTTTTTTTATCATTTTTAAGCATTTAGTAATCTTAAAAATGTTGAAAATATTCTCTAATTTCAAAAAAAGAGTATTTTAGAATGTCTAATGCAGTTGAACATTATTTTTATGTTTAGATGCATTTAAACTGATCAAATTTTATTTCAGAGAACAATAAAATTAAATTTTGTTTGATTAAAACCCTGCTAACATGGAAATACCCAAGAATCATTTGAGGCACATAATGCTTTATGAGTTCAAGAAAGGAAACTCAGCGGCCATTCACTCAGTTTATGGAGAGGAATGTGTGAATGAAAGAACTTGCAGAAGATGGTTTGCAAAATTCAGAGGTGTAGATTTCACCCCTGAAGATGAAGATCGAACCGGACGTCCAGTTGAGTTTGATGAAAAGCTTTTGAAGCAGCTCTTGAAGAAAATCCTACTTTATCAGTTGAGAAAATGGCAGTGGTTCTCAGTTCAAACCATACAACTGTTCATCGTCATCTTCAACAACTTGGAAATGTTCCTAAACTTGGAAAATGGGTGCCTCATGAATTGTCTGAAAACAACCTCAAATCCCGAGTTGACATCTGCTCTTCTCTTCATTCTAGCCAACTTGTTTCGCCTTTTTTGGATAGAATTTTGACTGGCAACGAAAAATGGATCTATTATCGAAATGTTAAGCGTCATAGACAGAGGCTTGGTAAAGGGGAAAGACTCCAGCCACAGCCGAGAAGGGAACTTCATGGGCAAAAGGTTCTTCTTTCAATCTGGTGGGATCGCCAAGGAATAATCCACTTTGAATTCTTACCACCAAATGCAACAATTAATACTCAAATATACTGTCAACAATTAGAGCGTTTTAACCTGCTCTAGTGAATCGAAAAGAGGTGATATTTCATCAGGACAATGCGCAATCCCACACAGCGAGAATCACGTCACAAAAGATCGAAGAACTTGGTTGGGAGAAAATTCCTCATCCTCCTTATTCTCCCGACCTTCTCCTTTAGACTACCATTTGTTTCGTAGTTTACAGAATCATTTTGAAGAAACAGCTTTTGTAAAAAAAACAGGAAGAGGTTAAAACTGACATTTGGGAGTTCTTCGAATCAAAGCCAAAGAATTTTACAGTAATGGAATTAGTAAGCTTGTTAATAGATGGAAGGAAGTCATAGATTATCAGGGAAAATACATTGTTGATTAAATCTGTAATTAAATGTAACATTTGGTCACTTGTTTTCTTTATTCAAATTCGGAAAGAACTTATGGGATGATCTGGTACTATAGTCATCGCTCTTGTTTTCTGATTATGTCGTATATGGTCGACGAAACTTTTAAACAGGGATATATTACGTAATATTTTATATGTATAAAAAATTATTTAAAAAATGTTTGGTGTAAACGACATTTTTTGAGCTTTTCAATTTTTTATTCGTAAATATAGTTTCCATTTAATAACAAAATCGCCTAACAGAATTTTAGACAACTTTTGATATAATATAATATTAAAGATTATTATAAAAAGGAAATAATTCTTGTACAAATTCATTATTCATCGCGTTTTTTAGGCAATAGCGTCCTTAATAAATCATACTTATAAAAGCAATTAAAAAGATTTCTAATTTGATAATGTCATTGCTTTATAACATCTTTTATTTTACAAAAGAAAATTGATGATTTAAATTCCCCAAGGAGTACTGCTTTTAAATATTAAAACGAATTTTGCGATTGAAATTTAATTTCTCGAAATTTCATGAAATTAATAAGTTCTGTGTAATATATGTAAAAAACACTGATTAGCATGATATTCTAAAAATAAAATTTAAAAAATAATTTAATTAATTTGTGAATAAGAATTAAATTTTAATTACAACAAGATAATTATTTGATTTTTGCAAATTTTTCCAATTCAATGAGATATTTTTTTAACCCTGTAAAGTAACGAATCCACCTGGAATTCGAACTCAGCTCTCTGATTTCGAGCCGATACTCGTTACACCAAATTGCACATCCACAATATATCGACTGTTTTTATAATAGCCATAGTAATGTACAGGAAGTATTATTGAATACGATATTAACCTTTGAAACAAGTATAGGCTGACAGCCTTGAAAATCCTAATTCGAAATTCATTTTTTATTGACCATTGCCTTTGGATGGAAAAACGCAACTTCGTATGCCAACAAGTAGACACGAATGGATGCTTAATTATAACACCAGCTCTTAAATTTGTTTGATGAACGCAGCCCCCGTTTTGATAAGCCAATACGTACTTTTCGCTCACATAGATAAACTTGCACAGAAGCTGAAACTTCGCAGTATGTGAGCACTTAACAATCTATAGCCACGTACATATACTACTTTATGCAATTCGGTATATGTGCAACCATGTTGGTGTGCGTTTGCAAAAACGTCGGCTCTATTTGTAATCCAAAAGCAAATCTGCATTTTAAAATAAAGTAACCTCTACGCCATTTTCAGAGTTTAGCAATATTTGAAATTCATGAAATGTAAAATCTATTCAAATGA